ATACCAAAAACATTGAAAGATGCTAAGTGTATAAGGACAAGACAAAATACAGGAACAGAAGGGACATTATGAATAAAGCATCACCTAAGTCACAACTTTTGAGACAGAATAGTTTTACTTTYCTGAGTTCCTACTAAAAAACCAACCAGGTAAGATTAGGGTCTGAATGAACATTGCTGTAAAAGAAGTCTTCATAATATCACTAGAGAGTGTATCAATATGAATGGAATTTATTCTCAGATTTAGACTGAAGAACAAATGCTAATAATAGGAGGAGAAAACCTTCATTCAAAATGATAGCTGACAGACTTTTTCATAAGATGAATAAATGGCAAAAAGAATACAAGTATAGTTTTATCCCCTAGGGAATACCCTACAGGAGAGTTAGTAGGAAAAACCTGGATGTAATGACTTGAAGTTAATTCTATTTAAATTACTCAGAAAGTTAAATGGAATATGTTTGCAAGCAAGATTCACAATTCCAAAACAGAAAACTTTGATATGCCATTGAACCTAGATGGTCTATTGAACTGGCATGTCCAATAACCATAGCTTTCTGAAATGCATTAAAAAAAAATAAATACACAAGCATCTGAAGTRTAAAGCAAGGCACTGAAAAAACTCTTCAATGCTCCATAACTAACAGAATAATTTCCTCAAAAGGAGAGTCCATAAAGCAGTATCTGCAGCTTACATACTAGGTCTTCAGAATTTAACTGCAATTAGCAAGCTAGGATTCTAAATAACAGTCCTCAGCTAAACCTGGGCCAAACCTAAGTGGTTTTCTGCTCTTGAGTTTGTATTTAGCATATTTGGGCCTTGCTCTGTTAATCTTGAAATACCTTTTGTAATAAAATGTTATGCTTTGAAGTTTGTCCCTGGTTTTGCAGGATAACTCATTTTCGTAGAAATTAATCTGTTTCTCCACCTTTGGGGCTGGAAATACCATGTTCTCAGAAGGGAAACTAGCTCAGACTAGTTTCAAAACAAGTGCACCTTGACTGGTTGGAATATAATTAGTATCTTAAGCATTCCCAAGGATTACATTTCAAAGCTTTTGCATTACTCACAGCAATTAAGTTGCACCAAATAAGTTTCATAGTTTTAGCCCTAGCTCTCTAATTAGTGATTTTAAAACACAGGTATTTCACATTGTCCTACCTTTCCACATGGACAGATATACAAAGCACAACATTTTAGTGCTTTTCAGAAAACAAAAGCTTTTAAAAAAACAATCACTATGCCAAATGTAATGTTCAAAGAATTTCTTTTTTCCAAATGAACTGAGATACAGTGACTTGACATCCACTTTTAATGAAGCCCCACTGCACCGTGAAAAATGTGCAGCCTACAGTATCTTAAATGAATCATAATATGGCTTACATCTTTAATGCCTGATCACAGTGCCAGAGTTCAAAGAACCCTTACTAAAACCATCAGTAGAATACGCTGGTTGCACAAGCCGCTGAAGTACCTACTTTGTAGCCAGAAGTAATTACGTTGCTTTGCTAATCTCTTCTGCAGAAACTCAATCTAACAGACAGAGATCACATCTATCAGATAAGAGGTCCATACAAGGCACAGAGGCTGCTGCTTTTCTTGAAAATACACAGCATTTTTTTGTGTTTCGGTGCAACATACATGCATCACACCCTTTGGAATAAAAATTGTCAGTGTTGGGAATCCATACAGCTTGAGAGACCAAAATCTACATCTCAARATCACGCCATAATTATGAGGTTCCTGACTTTTACAATCACAGGAACCTTACTATGAGGCTGAACACCCAGTTGCTTTTGTGGATCTCGCTTTTATTCCCCACTCTTCTTAAAATAATGATGAAATGAGACAGGATCTTGAACCTTCAGCTGAACCACGCAATACATCTCACTTAAAAGGCTATGAGTTAATGCTGTTGAGCTATATCAAATCAGTATGAAGTATTTCAGGTAGATAGCTTTCATGACTGATAACCACGGGACACAGATTTAAACCTGGAAGTGTGCACAGAGCTCGTGTTTCGGAGTTCCACAGCACTAGATCAAAGTAAGCCAGTGAAACCTCCAACTTCACATAAAACAAATGACACTATACAGTCCAAACAAAGGCAAAAAGTCTTACTGAAATGACTACTATCTACTTTCAAACCAATGAAGAATGAAAGCACATCCAAGAGGGAAAAAATAGGAAGAAAATATAACACAGAGAATTATGTACCTTACTTTTTCSTCATCCCTCATACAGCCAAACTACTTGTTGCAGCTTACCCAARTGAGTCCAAGCCTGAGCTAGAAGGCTTACATTTTATGAAGGTGGTTACTGTTTGGCACACTAAGCAGCCTCAAAATATAGAAGTTGCTGCCAGCAAAGTCAGGAAGAAAATTGTCAGTTTTTTATGACCACAAAAAAAAAAAAAAAGTATGTACACATGCCAATATCAATTATACCAAAACCTCAAATTGTAAGTGTGGAAAGTAATTATGGAACATCGAGATGAAACAGTTGGAAGAATTTTACAGYTCCCTTTTTAATTTTTCATTATGGTCATATATTTTCCCCTGTGCCTGGGCRTTTTTTGCTTTTAACAAAAAAAAAAATWAAAAAATTGTGTGCATTAGCAAGGTGAAAAGATTCCAGTATCTTCAAGAAGCTCCTATTCATAAGGGTATTTGGTCCTCATTTAGACCTCCAATCACCTATAGAAAAAACAATTCAGAATACCTAGCATTGTAAGTGTCCAGATATAATACGCAGTAATTATACTACAGCATAAAATACTTAACATTTATTCTGTGCTGTGAACACTAGTGTTTGCTTCCACTCTTTCCATTTATAAAGTTGTTTTACCCAGTGCAATTCATCTACTGGCTCACATCTGTGTAACAATAGCAAAGCCATWGTCCAGGAATATTTGTGGATACTGAAAAACAGCAAAAACCTTTTCCTGTCAATATTCTTACATATGAAATAAGCACTTCCATCACTGTTACCACCTGAAGTACCGAGACTCATGGGAGCATAAGGCAAAAAGAGCCTGCTGGCTAAAATGAAACTTTCACATCTTTCAACAACATGGAAATAAGGATTTTTTTTTTCTCACAGAGAATTAATTGCACCGTATTCTTRCCTAATGGGACATTGCYACAGTATCTGCAGGAGTGGCTTTGACTATTAGAAAAAAATGCCTAAGACTTACTAAACGCATAATTTAAACCTATTAGTATGAAAAAAATATCAAGTGAGAATATTTCAATACCCTTCCTTTTTCATGACTGAGCACACTCCCCTTCTACAAAGAGGTTTTAATTTTTAAGACTCAATCTAATTTTTCAGAAGCAAAATTCTGAACACTGCAGTGTTGCAACAGATGTAGTGGTGTGTTAAGAGCTGTAATGTATCAAACAYTACCTATCCTACTGTCCATCCAACCTGCTCTGAAGTGCTCCTGTTACATAACAATCCCTTGCAATCTTCTTAATTTATATGTTAACACTGTTAAGGAAAGAATATTCTCTATTTTAGTGCAAGTTCTCTGTACTAGGATTGCAAGGATTAAAGGCATTTCTCTGCCTTCCCTCTGTCATCCCAACTGGGCTGACAGCACGTATGAGGTCCAGGTACTCCACACATGTTAACAACATTATATCATTTCTAACATAGAAATTAAACTACATTTCTCAGGAAACAGAAAACAACAGCTACTTTCAAGCTAAAGCTRCTTTCAGATGCTAACCTTAAGGGGCATAACAACCTATACTTCCAAAAAGGAACATTAGGCAAAAACTTATGCTATTACCAGAGGACAGAAAATTCAGGTTACCTATTTTGGGTTTACCACCTTTTGTTTTCAATGGATTGTCTTAAATCCTGTATTAATTTGTTACAAATAACTCCGAAATGACAAGGGAAAGGAGATGGTTTTTGTAGAAATGGACAGGAATTAAATTTGTTTTCATGTTTCTAAAAGAGTGCTTAGTGTTAACTTTCTTTGCAAAAATTAAAGTCCAATGATAGAAAGCCAATTCTCAAATTAATACAGCAGAATGATGGTCATTTTTTTACTTTTTAGTCAGTGTACTTAATTTCTGATTCCTGCTGCAAATTTACTAACAACACAGCTCCGAATGATAAAAGCCTTCCTTGCCCTGTTTCCATATAGGCCTCTGTGGATTACTCATACAGCCCTCCCTCTGGGGCTCAGTAATCCACTGGCACTGCTCCCACGTTTTCCCTCAAGAACCGAACTCTCTTCTCGAACAAAACACTCCAGAAAATCAMATAAGCAGCTAGGAAGAAATCGATCTCCCTGGCAGCACCTTTGCAGTTACCTGCAAGGAACAGCAACCTTTTCCACAGCCACTTCACTGCGGGAGAGGGAAGAAGCAGGGAAGGTTAATTTAAAACACGGCGCGTACGGAGCCTCGCGAAGGCGCCGGCCCTGCGAAGGTGCCAGGGGACCCCACCCGGGCAGGGGCCGGGACCGCCCGGAGCCTCTGGAGCACGGGGGCGGATCGGGGCGGCCGGCGTGGCCCCGGCCTCATTCGGGAGGGCAGGTGGAGCTCTGGGCTGCGGCCCCTCCGCCTCCGCCCGGGCCCCGCACCGAGCCGCCCCTTCCACCTTCCACCTTCCCCCTCCCGCCCCCCGGCTCCGCCGCCCGCGGGAGCCCCCGCGCTCAGGGCCAGCGGCGACGGGCGCGGCCCGAGAGCGGCGCGGGCGGGGTGGACGAGTATAGGCACAGCAGCGGCAAGAAGCGAGCGGCTCCGCACGGACACACCGGGGGAACGGGCGGGGGCGTTATTTATATCTCGGGGGCTAATTTGGGAAGCGGGATAACCCGCCGGCACGACACCTGCCGCCAGCACTCACCCCATCCCGCGGAGAGGCGGCGGCCCCTTTAAGACCGCGGGAGACCCCTCCCTCCGGCCCTCCCGCCCTCCCCCGCCGCGCGCCTCCTGGGCCGCCAATCGGCGGCGGCGACGCAGCCGGGGCTGCGGGCAGCCAATCGGCGTGCCGCTTAGTGACCGCAGGGGAGGAGAGCAGCAAGATGGCGGCGCCGGGAGAGGCGGCGGCCGTGGCGGCTCCCTCACAGCCCGAGGTGGCTGCGGGCTCGGSGGCCTCCGCCGTGGTGCTGCCGGAGCGGCTGCAGCGGCGGGAAGCGGAGCGGCAGCAGGAAGTGGAGCGGCAGCGGCAGAAGAAGGAGGCGCAGGTAGTGAAGGAGGAGCAGAGCGAGTTCTTTCTAGCCGCCTTCGCCCGGGAGCGGGAGGCCGTGGAGGGGCTGCTGGCGGCGGGGACGCTGGAGGAGGCGGCCGCTCGCCTGCAGGCTCTGCAGAAGCTGCTGACGGGCAGCGTGCGGTTCTTGGCACCCTAYGAGGTACGGCAGGGGCAGGAGGCCGTGGCGCGGCTGCAGGGGGACCTGGCGGCGCGACGGCAGCAGCTGCAGCCCAAGAAGAAATTCGCCTTTCGCACCCTCAAGAAAGAAGCGGCCCCGGGCAGCGCYCCGCGCCCCGCCGAGCCCGCCCCACCGGCCCCCGCCGAGCCCGACCCCGGCCTCGCCGAGGGCGATTCGGGCGGGCCGCTGTTMTGTGGGTTCAGTGGCGCCCAGGACGAGGAGCTGGAGCTCGGCCCCGCGGAGCTGCTGCAGCGGGACGTGCTGCTGTCGGAGCTGCGCGGCTGCCGGGTGCGGCTCCGCGGCAACCCCAATACGCTGCGGGTGCGCGACTGCCACGGCTGCACCGTACTCTGCGGGCCCGTGTCCACTTCCGTGCTGGTGGACGGCTGCAGCGACTGCCTGCTGGCGCTGGCCTGCCAGCAGCTCCGCACCCACCGCACCCGCCACTGCCGCATCTACGTGCAGGTGACCAGCCGGGCCATCATCGAGGCCTGCACTGAGGTCTCCTTCGCCCCCTACTCCTGGAGCTACMCTGGTATCGAGAGAGATTACGAGTCGTCTGGGCTGGACAGAAACAGTAACAACTGGAACCTGGTGGATGACTTCGACTGGCTGGCGACGGACAAGCCTTCACCCAACTGGAGCCTGATCCCCGAGCARGAAAGAATCACTTGCTGGGACTGACTGCAGAGAGATCCTGGTGTAAACGCATTGATCCACAAAGTGTGGGACTTAATTCCCGATATGCCATTAAATGATTCCATTCGGTATTTAAATTGTGAATTATATGGATGGGTTTCTTAGTTGAGGAATACCAGTCCAATAGAGTTTACGTTACACAAGTTGCTGCTATAATCTTTATGTATCACTGTGGGATTTGTCAACTTCTGAAGTACCTCATTGTGAGTTTTACCTAATTAAGGTGAGGCAAAGGCCACTGACACAAACAACAGTGAGCCTCTGTTAGAGCTATGCTGCTTTCACTCACCCAAACAGAATCTGAATTAGCTGCAAGTAGTGCAAACTCTACTGGAATGAAAATATCAAATACCAAATTTTTCATGTTTTTGTGGTTCTYGTGTTGCTGGCAGCAGTACACTGTATCTTATGAGGAGTGCAGGACAGTTCTGCTGTAAGGTAATGAGGGAAGAAAAGGTTAATTTAAAGGAAAAGTTTGTAACTGAACAGTGTAGCAGACTGAGATGCATCCTAGGCTATGATACAATAATGAGCCTGTTTCTGTTGATCGAGGTTAAACCTGTAAGTTGTCTTAAGGCTTTTATTTCAAGTGAGATAAGTTTAAAGAAACAAAGAGTTCCAATAAACATCTAATGCTCTCCTAATATATTAATGATTGCTCGAAATTAACAAACCTCTGTATAAATAAAGCTTCACAAGCTGTAGATGTTAKGTGAAAGGATGCTTATTCTGTAAGCAGCTCAAAGGCATACAGCAAGAGCTGATGAACAGCACTGAGGGTAACTGTTCCTCTGCAGTGTGAAGTTTCAGGGGAGAGGTGTTCAGGGATATCCCACTATTTTACTGTACAACAGGCTCTATGTGCTGTGATCCTAATTTGCAGAACTCTGCTACTGTGTAAGTGCAGTGTTGACAGAKGGAGTCAGTAAAACAGAAAGTGAGGTGCAATATTTCAGTTCCAAAATTGCATGTTATCTTGCATAAAGTGCAGAGTAATTTAAGTCTTTTCATTCCTGCTAAATATTAATTWAAAAAGTAGCAGCACAGTGGAATGCAATGTCTTTACAGTGCCCTGTCAGTGGTGCTGAAGTGACCACTGTCCATACATAAAGTATACATAGCAGTTGTAGATTTCTAAAACCCCTTATTTTGTTACATTTTGCACGAAATAATTGTTTCTCTTGCCTTACCATAAAGCTTTCTTYTAAAACTACAAAGTATTATGCTGGGCAGCCATCAACTATGTGCCTCTAACAGACAGTAAATCTGAGCTGAACCATCAAAAATTGCACCACTGCCAGAAGTACCTGAAACTTCGCTTAGGTGCTTGACTGGTTTTGAGCAGAATTTTTTTTTGTGTAAGTTGTTTTCATCATATTTAATTTAAAATGGGAGGGGGAAAGGGATTTCTTTATATTCCTGATAAATTTCAGTTTTGTTTACTTCTGTTAATGTATATTTTTTGACTGAATTGGATTTTGCATTTCAAATATATTTGTTTTGAATTGTTTCAGTTGTCCCTTTACTAATGRTTCTTCTTTGCACTGAGAGCATCATAAAACAATTTGAAGAATATACCCTCAGTCTTACTTTTATGTACATATTTTATATCCTTTGTTAGAGGGATATGATCAGTTGAGGCTCTCAAGTATCTTAGCTTTAACACATCGATCTTAGTAGATTTTGTAGTTAGTTGTTCTCCACAGATCCTGGTAGTGACAAATCAATCCTGTTAGAATTCTCTAGCCTCACATTGTTCAGCCTGTAGGAACTACAGTAATGCCTTTGTTCTGCTTGCCCAACGTTTAGGCTTCAGTTTCACTCTGAAATTGYTTCCTTGCTGACAAGTCAGTTTTCACAAGTCAGTTACTGACATCCCAGTTCCTAATGTTTTCTTTCCTCCAAATATTTATGTCAAACCAAAATCAGCAGGTAATATTCTTCAGGAACATGGTGCCTGACATTGTCTTTCCCTTAAAGATTTAGCATTACCTTTGTAATACARAACAGGTAACTGGCTCATGGTCTCTGGCATGGCATGAAACAAGGAGGTTCAATCTGAGAACAGCAAGTCCAGAAWAGTTTGGTCAGGCAAATACCTAAATGTGATTCATAGTTCTAAATACATACCCTCRTATGTATATACACACAGAGTTGAACGTGCTTTCATGCATTTTTTTAAACTATACTTTCCTAATGTGGAACCCTAACAGAAATTCAAAAGTATTTCAGATAGAAGTATGTTAGTATAGTATGAGAACTTWAGCACTAGTAAAGGTTTGCTAGCATGTTCATGGGCTATTCAGTAGAAAAAATTCAACTTTTCAGGGTCTGTAAGGAAGAGAAGCTAAACCTGTGAGTATTTTTGATTCTCTAGCAACACTAATTTTTTTTTAATTTAAACTAATACCGAAAAGAAGGTCACTGTTAGTATAAGCACTAGCAGGCTACCATCTACRTGTGCCAGAACATTCCATTCTGACACCACAAGTACAGACAGTGCAATACAATAACCCCCAGCATTYTGCAAGCCTTTCTAGACAGGAAAGAGGTGAAATGCCATGTGAGTGAGAGAATGCTACTTGATATCCCCAAATTAGTTGCTTGAGAGTCCCTTTTCCAGTCAAATCTAGTGGAAAGTGGCAAATCAGATGTATTGAGAATTACATTCTGAATAAATTTTTTTGTGAGTATTTAAAAGCGTAGAGTGAGTATATGTATATATATTTTACAGAATAGTTGGATAGATGTATAAAATAATCTGATTTTAATTTCCTCAGCTATTACTTTAATTACATGGCATTTCGTAGTATCTGTTTTGGAAGAAAAAATAATTTTTATGTTGACACATATTAAAATGTTTTAGAAATAAGATGGGGATATTTTGGGAGGTTTGTAATTAGTTTGAGCAAAATAATCTAAAGTAAATACTGAACATAAAAAGCCTAGAAGTCTAGTCCACAGTATTTGTAGCTTCACCATTCCTAGGTTTTGTCTCAGCACTTCCTGTCTTAAGCTGTTTGTTCAAGAGGMCAAAAACATACCCTAAGTATAGAAGCACTGGAATAGTTTTACTGACARTGTCTGCTCTCARCAAGCAAGGAATTTTGTGCTATCTGGTCTCTAGATGATGATGGATCATCTCCTACACCCCTCTGAAATGAAACTCCTTCTAAGAGAGTAAGGAGTTGTGTCGTGATGTCYTCCAAGCTGACAGCTGCATGTGTCCAGGCTCCTGGACTCGCCTTCTGAAGCTTGAAATTTAGGAATATTCAGAGTTGGAGATGTGCCAGGCTGTGTCCATTCTCCCAGGTCAAGGAGACTTGGAATGCCAGTCTGGTCAGAGGCACTTTGTCCTCCCGCTGATCACAGCTTGAAGAAAGGAGAGCCAGGCACCCTCGGTTTCTTCCCTCAGAAAAATAAGAAAACACCTGGCAGTCTCTTGGAGGCAGAAGCAGTCAGAACTGCTGTGTACACAAGCAGGTTCCAAGCCAGCTTGCCTAGAAGATGGACTAAAGACATGAAGTAAGAGAAAGCTCTTCAAAGCAGCCCACTGAATGAGAATGTTGAGGGACAGTAATTCCCCAACCGTTTGTGGGTGCACCAGTTTGTCACTGTGACCTGCACAGTGGTTGGGTTCACTCAACCTGCACAAAGTACAACTGCAGYGAACAGTGTCTTCATGAATTCTAGCTCTGGTGTGTATTTCACATCAGTTCCACCAGAAACTTCTTTAAAGATCACATACTCYAAAGAAATTAATGATGCTAGGCATYRCAAGGGGYTGAAAAACAAATGCCTGGCAGAGACATGGGGTAWCAGAAACATCAGCACCATAAACCTGGTGCAAATTTGCCCTGAATAGAGACTAACAGGCAGAAAGTTATAAAAATGGTGCAGGGCACTGAGCTGCAGTACTATTTTCCACAAGAAGTCAGGAAAGCAATCCTGTTTCAAACATTTTTGAAAGACAGTCTAGCTGAACAACCCAGTGGCCTCACCAAAATCTTTAAAGCCACTGAAATTTCCTTAGCTCACCACAGGTCTGTTACTCACTGTTTTAAAGTTTGCGTGTGTCTGTGGAGGAAATAAAATAATCCTATGCAAAGATACACAACATTGAACCTATGGGAGACAATTGAGACCATTTTCCAGCCCCCAACAGAGCTTTAAGCACTGGCACTTGTTGAGGCACTGAGGGGTAGCAGAGACCAAAACTTGCATCCGGAGAAGCAGCCAGGAGCTTTGCTGCTGCTTCTCTTGGGGCCATCCCTTCACCTGGAAGTCTGTCCCAAGAGGGATCAACTCCCCTCTGTTCCCTTTGGAGTTTTAGGCATTTCCCTCCATCAGCCCCTGCTTCTGTGAATGGCAGAACAGAAATGGAGCTTCTTGTGYTCTCTCTTTATCCAGCATTCTTTCTTTTACATAGATTCGGATGTGAGCTGTAGTAGCATTATTGTGTGAAAAAAARCAGGCAAGAAATGCATGCATGAGACAATTTCCTACACGCTTTTATGCACTATATTTTTGAAGGCTAGGAATTTTTTTCCAGAGTTTCTTATTTAAGCAATATCTGCATGAAGATGAGGTTCAAATCTTGGTGGCTTTACCTGGAATTGCTTCAGGTTTTACTTAACAACCAACTTCATCATGTGCAAGGAAAGATGGGAATAGCAAGAAAAAGAATCTATGCATCTTGGGGAAATTTCAGCATTTCCATTCACATCATGATCTGATCTATCTGACTGACTTGAGACTCCACCTGTTGTACGGAGAAGTTTTCCAGCGGTAATGACTATCAGGAGCTTTTTGTAAGCTTCTTTTAAATCCCAGCATATTTCTTTCCTGTTTCTGCAAGCATAAACTTTGATTTCTCTTATTTTTTCAGCAGTGAACACTATACCTCAGGCATCACAAAAATACGAATAAATACTCATAATTAATATCGGGGGGGTCAAAAAAAAAGCTGTGTTTTCTGAAGATGTTACACACCACATGAAAGATGGCTGAAATGCTGGAAACTACCCAGAGCAAAACAACACCAAAGCCCCTGCAGTGTGCCCCAGCAAAGTTCAGGAGCCACAGGGTTCAGCAGATCAAATCACCCTTCCCAGGATTCACAGTGTTATAAAGACAGATGATGGCTTTTGAAGATATTAAGATGAGTGCTATGTGCACAATGTTGCCTTTTTTGCATAAATGGCTTAGTTATGGCTGCAACAGTGCRAAAAGYGAGATCTCGCCCAGAAAAYGTCCACCTGTATACAGGACTTTCCTGAAWTGCCAGCCCTATCCCCGCTTGCAGGCYGGCAAGATGCAGCACAAGAGAGATTTTGCAAGCAGAATCTCTGCAAGAAAACCTTTCTCTAAAGTCCCCCTGTTATGCTGCACTCAGGATCAAAGAGTGCAAAAAGTGAGATCTCGCTGAGAAAACATCCACTGGTATACAGGACTTTCCTGAAATGCCAGCCCTATCCTCACTTGCAGGCTGGCAAGWTGCAGCAAACAAGAGAGATTTTATGAGCAGAATCTCTGGAACAAATGCTTTCTCTAAGGTACCCCCCCCCCCCCGTTATGCAGACATAGTGGTGAAATTATCACTGGTGGTTTTGTTTTTCTTTTATAACTCAGATATAGTTACAGTACAGTTGATTTTGTTGTTTTAGAGCACTTGTTGTTAATTTACAATAACTAAAGTATTATGGCTTGTGATTTAAACATTTCCACGGAGGATTTTTTTTACACATTATAGCAAAAGTATACAAAAGTTGCAGGGAGAGYCCTGGCTTAAGCTACACTGACCAAAAGATAAGGAGAAAGGAATGCATGAGTAAAGGATCACGGCTTGACATCTCTGACACTGCCCCAGAGTTATCAGCACAGACCCTGACCAAATGGTGGGGGGGGTGGGGAGGTGGGGGGTGGTGCGTGGAAGAAATAGGGGCTTTGAGATGTGTAGTGGAAAAAGCCTCTAGTCAGAGGAACTCGTAAAACATCCATCGTCTGCTGCGCAAAGGAGCCTGGCTGGTGGGACCCTCAACCTTAGGATGGGCTCATCTGCATGGAAAGGCCGGGGTAACCCATCAGAGGACGCTTCCCTGTTGACAAAAACCATCTGCTAAAACTATGGAATAGGGGTCACACGCACATGACCCCAGGAGCATAAACATCCGTGCTCTAAAAAGGCAATCCATGTTAAGCAGTCCCTAGAAAAGTCTGAATATGCATAAATGTCTGTGAATAGGCATTAAGCTGATGCAACACGAAATGTATTTAAAGAAGTTTCTGTCAATACCAAGGGTGTCTTTGGCACACTGCCAAGCACCCAGTGCCCCCTCAGGCACTGTATCCTTTTGCCTTCTGTCCCCTATTGTCATTTATTATTTTTTTTTAATTTTCACAGCAGAGTGAACTTCATTTTTCACAACAGCAATTCCAGCAGTGAATTTAGTACTTGCCTCTGTTCCCAGCCTCAGAACCTGCAGTCAGCTCACACGCCACAAAAATAGCAGCCTACCAAGTTACCTGTGTAAGGAGGAGAATAAAAGTCATAAATCAGACTTTTCTCCGCCTGATAATTGTACAGTGTGGTAYGGCATTTTTATCCCATTGTTCCTCAGGGGTGTCCCTGTACACACCAGAGAGTTACAAATGAAAGCATGTACCCTTAAGTGAGGGTACATGAGCAAACCTCAACACAATAGCTTCCCATCAAAGGCAAAACCAGACATCATTATTCTTGCAGTGAAACGTAACCACTTCTAGGGAAAGGAAAGAAAAAAAAGCCACAGAAAGGCATACATTTCATATCACAGAGCAGTGCAAAAGGAAGATAGGGCCAGAAAATTATTCTTTTTACCAACTGAGGGCACTTCTATAGTTCAGCCATATATGCATTTTATATCTTAAGCCCCTGAACATGGAAAGATTAAGACTGGTCCAGGGCTGAGCACCAGGCTGTTCAACAAACACCAGATTAAATGGTTTACATTCCTCTCTCTAAATCGATAAATTTGTAGCTTATATGTAGGTTAGCAGACACAGCTTCTTGGAAAGGTATCAATATTGTATTGTTAAACATCCACATTATAATTTTAACTATATTTTGAATTTGAGCACATTCATGGTGAGATCAATAATAATTCAACTATTTTATTCTATCTTTTTTTTTTTTCTCCAATATTGGCATATGAATTATACATTTGAATTTAAAAGACAACCTCTGAGGAGACCATTAACTCAAACATTCTTGCAGCAATTACCTTTTATCTGCTATGGATCAGCTTCAGCATTTTCTATTTGAAGTAGAAAGCGGTAGTAAGTGCCAAACTAAAGACAAATCACAGCYAAGAAAAACCTTTTTAAGAAAAGCAGATGCCAGGAGAAAGGAGTTTTCTTTTTTAAACTGTCCACACCCCAAAACACTTCTCGATGATCCCCTATCACTTTCCCCTCCCTTAGGATGCTCTGCCAGAGACAGCCCTTGGCTGCCTGGTTTGTGCCGATGCTTGCACAGGGTTGCAAGCTCCGTGTTTGGGATAACGGGGAAGTATTAATTCCCACTTTAAAAAGCGTTAACTTCACTTTTGGAAGGAAGTGTCAGAGCACTGCTTACCAATCCCCTTTAAAGCTCCCAAGCATGGCGAGTTAAGTTGATGGGTGGGTAGTTTTTGCCACTGTAAGTTCCCAGCTGGYATTGAACTATAGAAACTGCTTAAATAAACAGCACTTCCCCTAAATTGGGTTGTTTTGGTAGTGCTAATTGCCCTCTGTGATGACTTTAAAAGTACCACCCRAAGTCTGAAAGGTCTAATTAGTACTTTAGTGTCCCTTCCTGAGCATCAGGTGGATTACTGACCATCTCCCAGCTAATASTAGCAATTTACCAATGATTTATGAGGACTCTTCCCATTTCCTTTGTTTATGGGCAGAAGTGTAGATTTGGAGGGATCAGTGAGCCCTGAAGAACGCATGTTCTWTTTCAATACTTTTATTCTTGAAATAGAGGAAACACCGTAGTGTATACACTCACACGATTTTGCTGCATCAGATTTATCATGGGTATCTAAATGTTAAATTATTGAGATGACAGGTATTCAGCCTCAGCTGTGCTCCTGAATACGAAATTACCTATATCCAGAGTAGCACCAGGCTTACATCAGCTGTGGAAAACTTTACTGYTTTTTGTCCTGCAGGAAATATTCCATTGTATATCCTCATGACCCATAGACCTGATAGGGAATTCTTTTCCACTTCAGTTACAGTGTCACTGCCAAGGCAAGAAAAGAAATGGTTTCAAGTTCCTTTACCTAGAATAAACTCCAGGCTGTGARATAAATACTTTCCAAACTCAAGTCTCTTAGCTGGGCCCTGAAGGAGTCAGTGAAATGCAATAATTTCGCATTGGTTGTGGGATATTTTGCCAGTAGAGTTGTTATTACAGCACAGTGACTTGTTGCACAAAAACATGAATAGGCCCTCTCAAGAAACAGCACTTCTAATCTACTTCATGGCAAGAGGAAAGAGTAGCCCCTGATGGATCATCCCCTCCCTTCTCTCACACCCTTCACTCTTCACCAGCGAGGGCAGCAGCAGTGCAACCAGCCAGGTTTGCTTTAGAAAARTCCCAGTTAGCAGCTGCTCTCCAGGTCACTGCAATAGCACCAGCATGGGCTGGGCAAGGCCCAGCACAAAACCCTTCTCTTAGGACAGGAAGAAGCAGTGAGTCACCAGCCTTCGGCCTTCCTGAAGGAACTCAAATGCTAATTAAGCAGCATCCATGGTACCACAGAGCAGCACACCACCAAAATGCTCTTTTTCAGTGCTTGGGCTTTTCAGTTCTTGTCATTATTATTTTTCACACCTGCCTTCCTCCTGGCAGATCCCTTCACCTCTCTGTCCCCGAGGGCTGGTGCTGCTGGCAGCCACTAGAGGATGCCCCCAGGGCATCTCTTGGGTGGTGGCAGCAGTAGGTCTGGCTGACAGGCGGGAAAGAAGCCTCCCAGTCCCTTTTCCGAGGCTGCTCCTTTCTCCCCTGCAGCATTAGCACCCATGCCTTCACACCCCTGCAGGATAATTTTCCACTGCTGGAGGTTGCCTGAGGTTAATTTTGCATTGTGGTGGCAGGGGTGAGCCAGTGCAGGAATTCCCCAGTAGCTCCAAACCTCTGTGGGGTGAGTGGGAGATGATATTTCACAGTGAGTAAAACTCCTCAGGCAGTGGAATGAGTGAAAGCCCAGCATCTCTGCTTGCCTGAAGCAGCTGTGTGGTGCGAGRAGGAGCCCACTGCCACCGGAGGGTGTGTACCCTCCTCTCTGCCCAGCACAGCGTGAAAGCAGAGCCGGCTGCAGGTCCTTCAGTAGAGCCCAAGGATCCCCAGGGTGTCTCCCTTGCACTCAGATACAACAACCCCAGGGTCCCTCTCAGCTGCTGAGTTGAATTCCTCCCRGTGTGAGCTCACGGGTGGGTCTCCTTGGGCAGCCCTGTTCCCCTCCCTGCCCTGGTGATTATCCTTAAGSTGCTCACCCAAGCTCACTTTTTACAAAAGCATCCCTAGATTTCAGCCCAGGGTTTATTTATTGAGTTTTTCTGCACTTTTCCTTTCTCCTCCTTTCCTGCCAAAACCCAGAGATGGTGCAAGCCCTGGAAGTAAACAGAAAATGCCAAGCTTAGGTTTTTTAGGTCACCGTAAACTACATGCTTATCTGCTTTCAGAACACATAAGCCACAGGATGTCATCTCAAGTCAACACAGAAGGATAAGGACTAGAAGAAGGGTTTGGCGTAGATATGAATATATCAGGATCACAGTGGGGAAGTATATGTTTGTATACAAGCACCTTTTTAAACCCAGAACCCTCTTCCTTTTTCCTCAAAGGTTCCACATTCTTCTGGCAACAAAAGATCTTTTTAGATCTCTGGGGTTTCATATTCCGCCCGGCAGCCTATCATAAGAGAGCACAAATCTACTAAATAGTAAAATGAGGGATTACTTCCACTCATCTGTTGACAGACATTTCTCCAAATTGGATCAAATGATTAAAGGTATTAGAATGACGTCTTGCAGATCCAGATCAAATCATTTGAAACCTTGAGAGTGTTTCTCCTTTGCTTGGAAGAAACCACCAGAAATAGTTGTAGGTGCTAAGTGCCCATTATTCTCACTAATGTGAAATTGGTAATCGGGACCTTTGAATATTTTACTTGCTTGAATCCTAACAGGGGGACTTCAAGATGGAAGGATTGTGCARCGGCTCGCTTCCCGATGTGCCGTTCGGGATCTCTTCCGACGCCTGAATGGTTCTTCCTCGAGTAGCTGACGCAGAGAAGAGGGGTCCAGGCTGTGAAATCGTCCAGCATCTCCCACTACAAAGATGGCACTGCTGAAAGTCAAATTCAATCAGAAGAAAAGGGTAAAACTAGCGCAGGGACTATGGCTCATGAACTGGTTTTCAGTGTTCGCTGGAATCCTYGTTTTTAGCATGGGATTGTTCCTCAAAATCGAGCTCCGGAAGCGAAGCGAAGTGATGGACAATTCTGAAAGCCACTTAGTGCCCAATTCTTTGATATTGATGGGTATATTATCCTGCGCCTTCAATGGTTTTGCTGGAAAGATTTGTTACGATTCTCTGGATCCCGCTAAATTTGCCAAGTGGAAGCCTTTGCTGAAACCTTACATGGCACTGTGCTGCGTCTTTAACGTCCTCCTTTTCTTCGTCGCTCTGCTCTGCTTCCTCATGCGGGGCTCCCTGGACAGCACCCTGGCCCAGGGGCTCAAGAACGGCATGAAATTCTACCGGGACACGGACACCCCCGGGAGGTGCTTCATGAAGAAGACCATCGACATGCTCCAGATCGAGTTCAAGTGCTGYGGCAACAACGGCTACAAAGATTGGTTCGAAATCCAGTGGATCAGCAACAGATACCTGGACTTCAGCTCCAAAGAAGTGAAAGAGTAAGTGACTCAGTGGGGTTTGTATCGTGTGGTGTCRTTATTTGGTCAATATTACCCTSAAGTGCCAGCAGGCACTGACTGGAGGGATGTTTGAATAAAATGGAGTCTTGTGTAATAAGGCATCCTAAATGATCAGCGGGATTGCTTCCTCTGCTGAGAAATTTAAAGTCATCCATAACATAAAATATAAAGCATCAAAATACAATTCTCGCTCTTATTTAGTGTGAKGTAAACAGCCTTAATATTTTTTACCATTTTTTTTAGCTCTTTATAAACCCATTACCTTGAGCCACACTCCCAAAACCAGCAGGAAAATATCAGAACTTTACTAATCCTGAAGCAGATGTCAAAGTTATTTATTAATTTCCTCAAAAAAGAACTCCCTGGAACTATGCTGTTGATACCACTTTTAAAACTCCACTTAGATATTGGCAGCTAATCAGCTGCATGGAAATAAATAGAGGCAGCAATACTTTGCCAATAACTCATGTGTTTTAGATCCTTAAGATTTAGGATTTGATTTTTATATTCTCTCAATGGATGGCTTCAGTGCTATCCAGTGATAATACTGAGCATCCAYAGTGATTGATGTTCCTAGCTTTACACAGCGGCCCTTGTAGCCATATGTATTTTAAGTTCTCTCCTGTGACTAATTTTTTAAAAACTCAGATGAAAGTAGCACTAGTTTATTGTTTCTATACAAACCAGACCAGGTTGTTGACCAGAAACACCTTAACAGCTTTGATGTCAGTGCCCAAAGAGGCAGTAATCCCAAAATCAGGTTAGGTGCAGTAAGCTCAAGCAGAAAATAAACATGAGAACAAAATGAACCTTTGAAATAAAAAAAAAAAATGCACTGGGCATAAACACCCACAACCTTTTAAAAAATTAAGCACTGGGGAAAGAGAATGGTTATTCAGAGTTCTTTGGGAACATCATTCATTAATGTTCATACTCTGTGGTTGTGTAATGGGTCCTGTAAACTGGAAGCAATCTGCCTTTTAAATATACTGCCTGCATTAAAAMTGTCTGAAGTAATTTTGAAAAAAAGCTTTTGTGTATCTCTTGGGATCTCTTGAGATCCCTGCCTGACTGGGTAAATGGCATTTCACTTGTGAGTGTGTCTCTGTGCATGTTCTTTTGACTTGTTGGGTGGTCTSGTTGGTTTTGCAATTCTGAACCAGGACTTTTTAGAGAAAACTGTTAYTGATTTAACCCATTGTGCTGCAGGGTTATAAAAAATACATTCACTGTTCAACAGGGGGGTGTTTCCATTGTGAAGGTATGCCCRTGGGTATAAATAACCACTTGAAAAAACCTCGCCAGCATTATATGGAGATTTGAGAGCTGTAACTTAATCCAGCAGCAGTGGAAGGGCAATGCACAGAGGGAAAACAAGGTTATACTGTCCTTAATAACTGATGCCTTGTTTGGGACTGAGACTCAAGGTAATTTCTTTGTACTACTGAGGCAGGAAATAGGGCATTAAAAATCTACAAATGGGTGCTAGTGAATTCAAGGTGTGTACTATGTGGTGGTGCACAATCTCTGCTCCCATTCCTGGTGGGATAGTCTGGCCCCTTTAAAGTCAATAGTAAAGTTCTCCATAATTCCAGGGATGGTGGGATTTTGATACTACTTGTAAAGCAAAGGCCCGATCCACTCTCTAAAACCGGTGGAGCATTTACACATGAATGGGAATTTGAYCCAATCCAGAGCACACTTTACATTTAGAGAGAAACCTCATCAGTGTTTGCTCATTAGATATATTTAGGTCACGACTGCAAAGTGGAATTTTCCTTCCCCAGATTACTGGAATCACCTCTCTCTCTATCACACAGTTTTAAAAYACCCACACAGAAAGGTACAAGTGACACTCAGATTTTTTTTTTTCAACTCTCTAGACCACTGGGGATCTCCATTGTCATTTTCTAAGCAAAATGGCCTGGTTTAGAACTGCTGGTTTAGTCTTTCTGCAAAGCCAGTGGAACTATTTGCTTTCTAACTTATYTCTCATCTAAACATCTCCTAAGACACCAGGCCAAATGGCTGTTTACAGAGAAGAACCGCAGTGTCAGATGAACAATAGCTGGGGAGCTCCTGAAAGGATTTTGGAAATTTTGCAACATCCTGCTGCTGAGGCACATTTCGTGTTTTCAATACTGGCTACCTTCCCAAGCCAAGAATAAATGCACAGCCCTTCCCTGGAGCTATTATCATCCAAAAGAAACTTTTAGTTGTGCAGGATCAATGGTCTAGCTGGGTATGATGGGTCCTAAGGCAGTTCTGGGCTCTTTTTCAAGCTCAGGTCAGCTCCTGCACCTCCCTTCCACCCTAACCATGCAGTGATCACTCTTTTCTGACTGCCCCTCCTGAATTCTCTCTTCCACTCACTTTTGTTAAAAAAAAATAATTTATTTGACGAAGCGAGAGCACGCATTTCCACCTGGAAGGGTTAAATACACTCTCAGTGTAGCCTTGACAYAGAAAAGGATTTCAGAGGGGAAGGACACCCTGGACAAACAGCGCTGTGTGAACAGGGGACACGGAGAAAAGGCACAGTGGAAAATCCTCCTTTCCTTTGCTCTCCTTCCTCACACGAGTTCCCTCCTGGATAKCTCTGTGTGYCCCTGTGTGTGTGTTTGTGTATTCACGTTTCCTCCCRCCCTTGCCCGCAGCCGGATCAAAAGCAATGTGGACGGCAGGTACCTGGTGGACGGCGTCCCCTTCAGCTGCTGCAACCCCAGCTCGCCCCGGCCCTGCATCCAGTACCAGGTGACCAACAACTCTGCCCACTACAGCTACGACTACCAGACCGAGGAGCTCAACCTGTGGCGCCGCGGCTGCCGGGAAGCGCTGCTCAACTACTACAGCGGCATGATGAGCTCCATGGGCGCCGTCATCCTCCTCGTCTGGCTCTTCGAGGTAACGCCCTCCCCTCAGGGAAGCGCCAGCTCGGCGGGAGCAGGGCGCTTTGTCAGCCTGCAGTGACAATCAAACCCGTTTAAAATAAATTTCCTCGTTGTTTGGCTGAGAAAATATGGAATATGTGAGTAAGGCTTGAGAGGCCCCAGGCTGGAGACAGAGCTGKGGGATCACAGACTCCTCTCTCAGAGCAAGGGCCCAGAGCCTCAAGTATCCACCATTTTCTGTCAAAGGCAAGGTGCTGAGCAGGGAACAGASAGCGAGGGCTCTGCTGTCCACATGCATTAATTTTACATTTGTCACCATTTGTGGTGACACAAATGAGAAACACACAAAAAAAAGCAGCACATCAGAAAGATAGGACAGCAATTAGTGGGACAGAAAGTCCAGTTAAAGGGTTCATGCGCTGAAGGAAGTAAGGCTTTAAGCCATGCACAGTGCAACCATTTCAGGGCAGCATTTGGTCGGTCATCAGCTCCACCAAGATTTTGGGGCAGAAAAAGTGGTACAGGTGGAGCAAATGGATTAAATTGATTTTCCTCTGCTTCCCAAAACTGCAATGAACATGCAAACAGGCACCGACACTGCCCTGTGCAGGAGTCCGTGGGCACCATAACCCCAAGTGAGCTTGGCTGATAAAACACCCTTCATCCAGTGTGAGGAAAACACATCTTCCTGCCCCTGGGAAAGGGCCAGTTTTCCAGCCAGGGTGGTTAACCAGCACTAATGCTCAGGGAGCRTGGGCTGGCAGTGGCACGAGGGCTGGCATGTGAGGGGCTGGATGCTGAGATCAGGCAGGACCTGCTGGAAAACAGGGAGSATGCAGCAGATCCTTTCCAGCCCTCGAAATGGCCGCTGCAAATGGCACTGCCTAGTTTAAACAATTCAAGCTGCCTTTTTAAAAATTCAGATACACACAAATTAAAAATAGATTAGTTAGAGTTTGATACACGCACTGGCCTACAGCCTTCCAGGAAAGAAGATGCTTTTTAGAAAATAAACAACTAAATCTGTGAACTGAAGAAAAAAATTATAAAGTTATTCTGTACTGYGTTGTTTTAAAAATAACTGCTCCGAACTGCAGAGAAATGCACTGCCTCTTTGCACTGTTATTCTGGTAAGTAGAGAAAGAGAAGCTCTTTATTTTAGCCCAGATTCAAATGCAGAGTTCTTGAAGAGAAGGGAATTTTCAACTGTATTTGAAAGTCATGAAGAAATTCAAAAACTCAGGGGAAAATGGCACAAAAATACTAATGCCAGCTGCAAAAAAAAATCATGCCTAGGAACCTGTAACATACCTCTGTTAACTTGCAAGAGAGTAATGACAGTGATATGTTAACATTARTAGCAGTGATAAAAATGCAGTATTTTATGTCTAACTCTTCAAAGTACACCTGAGTTATTTTTTTCAACCTGTGGCATAATGAGAAATAAGATCTTTTTTTTTCTTTGTCRTTTTCAAAATAGAAAGTGAGACCTTTTTTGGGAAATCAGGGGACTCATAGGGCAAAGCTTTAGAGAAACAACATGCCCCTGGGTTACAATAACTTGCCCTCCTGAATATTTATGACTCGCCTGATATTCTACAATAAAGGGCCCAGATTTGAGTCTGAAATTCCCTTGGCTTTTAGGCAAACTTTGAAGGGAGGAAGCAAAGCAGGAAACAGACATTAACTCAGTCTCCCTTCAAATATAACCACTTTTGAAATATAACCCCTTCCTTTAAATTCCAGTCAGGATAGGAAACAATTTTACGCTGAGTAGGAGAGCAGCAGAGGTCCCAACTCCTGGCCAAGGTAAGTGTGGGTCTGAGCAGGGCGAGCCCAGCGGGCAGTGCTGGCTCTGTGCTTCTCATTTCCCCTCTGACTGACTTCTTGGGAAGCCACAGAAAAGGGCAAAAGCAAAATCCTGAATTGCTTTACACCTGCAGCCACCGTGGACTCAAACCAAGTACTTCCCCAGCAAAGCCCTTCTGGGGGCTCTGGAGGACTCTATCAGCTGGGATGGTGAAACTGAGGTGTGGGAAGGAGGAGAGAACATGGAGGGAAATACTGATCACAGCTGTCACTTTGAGCTATAGGAAAAGGTAACCTGCCAAACAGGTATAGGGACATCAAAGAAGGCTTTTTATGCTCCACCTTTCCATATCAGACACAAGGAAGAATGAACCTATTTTGAAATACCAAAACATCTACTTGAAAAGAATGCTAATGTGTTAACCTAGAAGCTGCTTTTCCTAACAAAAGCTGTAGGCTTCCCATGAGTGACAACCGGTCATGAGGGTGACAAAAAAAGATCACACCCTGCTCTGGCTAAGCCGCCTCAGGCTAAACCCTGGCAAGCAGATGGGCTCCGCTGCAGAAGGTCAAGAAGAGCAAGCCTGGATGTCTTCTTGATCTGCCTTAGCCAGCAAAGAGAAAAAGAAGGGTTCAAGGGTGCCCTGAACAGAGCATTTGGAAAGGAACAGAGGGCTGAGACTGGTTCCTGAGATGCTCCAGGTGCTCCACCTGTGCAAACACAAGGGTCTCAGTAGGTCACAGCTGCTGCAACAGCCGAGATGTTGGGATTGCCCCCAAAGTGCCACAGCCTGGGGCCAGGCTGAGCTCCAGGAGCCCTGAGACATGCACAGGAGGCACATTGCATGTCCTGTGCTGCAGAGTAAACTCTCTGAGGCATTGCACAGCAGGACTGAACTCCTGGTAATCTCCAAACGCAGGCAGCAGGAACCCAYGGATGGATACAGTTTGCTCTGCTGGTCCACAGGGAGAGGCTGAACACTCTGGGGTGCAGGGGACACAGCCTGGGCGGCCCCAGCCCTGCAGAAACACTGTGGCCATGTTCTTCCTGGTGCTTTGAAGTTGCTGTAAAATGACAAGAGTTGACAGGGAAGCCATCACTCAGCAGGACTGGTCTGGTTCCGGGGCCCCAGCCTTCCTGCTGGATTGTGTAAATCTCAAATGTCCAGTTCACACACTGGCTAAGGCTGGAGGCTTAGCTGTGGCCTCACCAGGGCTGAACATTCCTCGACCTGCTGGCAATTCTTCATCTAACGCAGCCCAGGATACCACTTTCCCACTTTGCCACAAGGGCAGGTGGTTGGCTCCTGGACACCTTGGTGTCCCAAGGCCCTTTGCTGCCCAGCTGCTCTCACCCAGTCGCCCCCACCATGGGTGCACAGGTTATGCCTTCCCCGGTGCAAGATCTCAGCTAAACTGGTGCCCCAAGGCTCTGTGATCATACAGCAGATGGATTAATTTACCAGATACTCGTCTCAAGCTTCCTGGACTCTTTTCTCATCTGGCAAAGAAGGCAGGCTCAAGTTAGTGGAGGTGACATGAGCCCAGACATTTTGCATTGCTTTTAAGGAATCTCAACTTCAGGGACTCAAAATCTTGCTTAGAAAGGTYTTTAAGTAAACAAAGTCTTAAACTGAGAGAAAATGTCACAAAATCTTAYCCAAGGACAGGTCAGATGCTCAGTGCTGCACAAGCACCATCCTTTTTTAAGGCATGATCATATTTAGTGACTTAGAGCCATCCAGGAAGCCACACTGACAGACCACCCACGTTGGCTGTCAAATAGTGGCACTTGGCCAGTCAGTGACAAAACAAAGCTCCTGCTGGCATGCAGGGAGGCAGCACAAGTGGAGAGCAGCGTTGAGCCCATTTCCTGCACCCAGCCCTGTTAATCTGCACTTGCAACAGCCACTGATTTCAGAGATAACAGTTCCATGAGTGTGAGCAGCAAAACTGGGTCTCAGAGTGGAAGGAAGGTGTCAAAGGCTTTAAATCCCAAGACTAACATGATGGGATTTGTCACTTCCTGTGACTTTTCTAGAATGGTGCTTCCACTGATTTAAGTCATCATAGTCTTGGCCAGATGAGACTTCTTCCAGACTCAGAGCCACTTGATACTTCCTTAGTGACCAAAGTGGGGCTAGTCATACATTCCTGTGCTAAGCAGGATAAAAAATTGCCTTTGGATATGGGAGTATTTGATGAAGCTTGTTTGTTTGACCAATGTTTTTCCCTTTCTGATCTTGGGTGAAGGCAGAGTATTACAAACATCCGTAAATTCTGAGTAGCCAAATGTAGCTTTGGTTTTCCAAGAGTCTGGAGACACTGATGGTAGACAAGGACAACTACAGTAGACTGGCTGATGGATGGTCCATGGAAGCACATGCTTGAGCAGTCCCTCGAGTCCCAAAGCCAGATGTGAATTCTGCCATTGGCCACGCTATGTGGCTGAATCCCAACCTCAAATCTGCCAGCCTCTTTMGCCATTAGGGTTCAGGAGGAACAAAGGTAATCAGTTCCTTGGGAAACTGGATTGAGAAATGGAGGCATTGTACTTTCCTTAGAGAACAAATCCTATGAGGTCACTGACAGCAGCAAGTGTTCTCCATCTGAGCTTTACCCAGCACATGCAAGACCAAACTAATCTTACTGCTGCCCCATCCCGACATCTACCACCTCACCAGGGCTGGCTCTTCTGGGCCTGCCTTTTCTTTCTTTCTGCACCTCACTCATCAATCACTTTTCTTCATGAGCACTGCAACAGTGAGGTCACATTGTTCTGAATGGTGTTAGAAGCTGGGAGAGGAGGCAGGTGCAGRGTGTTGCCAGTGTCAGGGGTGTTACACAGAAAACAGAGTAGGAAAAGTCTCAGTCAGGGCTGATGGGACTAGGTAATATTTAATCAGAAATACAAATTTGTTTTAGATGGAACCAGAGAGAGATAACCTGCTGCCTTGGTTTCCTTATTTGCACATGCCTATGTTAAAACAAAATCAGAATTCRAAGCAGACAAACTGATGGCTCAGATCTTAATGCTGCTCCGTTCTGCAGAGACACTGCTTCATGAATATCTCCTTGATCAGCTCCATATATTCACCAAACATGTTAAGGTCAATGCAAAATAAAAACGTTCAGTTAAAACTCAGTGGGTGGTGGCCAAGGATGTGAAGAGGCGCTTTGGGCACGTGGCCCCTCAGGGCTGTGCTCACTCCAGCAGCCCAGGGTGCCCAGGGCAGGGGACAGGGACAGGAGTAGCCAGGGGTGGCTGACACTCTGCCTTTCCCCTTGCCTGGCACAGATGTCGGTGATGGTTGGCTTGCGCCTTCTCCACACCTCCCTGGAGAGCATCACCAATCCCGAAGACCCCGAATGCGAAAGCGAAGGGTGGGTCCTGGAGAACAGCCTGAAAGACACTTTCAAATCCGCGCTGGAGAATTTGAAAAAGCTGGGTAAGTTCAACCAGGTGGAAGCAGGAGCCGAAGGGGCTGAAGGAGAGGAAGGTGGGAAGACGCCAGCCATCACAACGGTCAGTTGAGCTGCTCACTGAGGTGGACTTTTTCTCAGAGAAAAATAACACAGACTGAGAATTGTGAAATTGTGAATACACCTTCTAAAAGCTATGTATCAACCACCAGAATACACATTTCTATGCATGTCTCTTTTGTACATGGGAGCATACAATATAGTGCACCTTGGGATAAAACATTTATCCATAATGTGAGTATACCATATCCATCTTTTTGGGGATATGACCCCAATTAGGATTTGCAATATTCACAAGTTCCCTTATCAGAGACAGTTAGTTTAAGAAAAAAAAAACAAAAAAAAAACTTAAAAAAAAAAGATTGCTGGAATCACATGGTGATCCATTCCATCTTATTTTGAAACTAAAAGTSGAATTTGAAAAGTTAATATTTTTCGCTCAAGTTGTTTCATCAGCATACTTTCTGTACTTCAGCTTTTAAAGACAAGCAGATTGGGTTTCTGGAGAGTAACATGGTAGAATTCAAAGAAAGAAGGATTTCCAGAATTGTATATAACTTAGTCTACAGGTATTTTGACAAACCACTCATAYGTGATTTTTGTTAATGTGCTAAGCAATGGTATTTTCTGCTGTATTCTTAAGATGTACATAGAACAAAATGCAAACTTATGCTGAGATTTATGTACTAAGCAAAAATTRTAATGTCATGAAGCAGCCAAGCATCATAAAAACATTCAGGTAAGATTCATGGGGTTTGTTTCTCAGGGTTTTTTTGCAGGCTGTATATCTTAAATGCATGTGTTGTAGCTTACATTTTACCTTGTATTTAAACTCTTCACAGAAGCTTAGAAGATTCGTCTTAGAATGGGTGGAATCCAGGCTATGAGCATGTGCCAGTTATGGTTACTCTGGACATTTTACAGAGTATGTAATCTCATAACTTGCTCCAGAATATCTGAGCCCAAACATTTTTAAGACAAGAAAAAGACAAACCCAAAACCAGACAGGCCACTTAGAACTCAGACTTTAAATGTTTTACAGGGGCCCAGAAAATGGATGCCATTCACCCACCAGTACATCAAGCCCCAGCACTTCAGGCCAGGGAAAACTAAGTTTAAATCAATCCCCAATGTGCAAATTTTACTTTTCTTTATCAGCGACAGGGCATCCCTCTTTTACATCAAAAGAAAGGCACATTTTGCATATGCTGCATCTCTCCAAACACTGTCATAGCTGGAAGATCCTGTTCTCATATACCAAGTTGGAAWAAAATATGGAAAGAGTTTGCTGTGGTGTGCAGCCTCTAATAAGGGAACAGAGCATCATCTTGAGTTTATTTTCAGCTGAAGGGAACGAAACCCGAGAGAACAAGCCCCAGCCTCCTGCACCTGATTGCAGACACCTCAGTCCCTCCCTACAAGCCAGGCACCAACCACACTTATTTTTACCTGGCTGTGCAAACCCTCTGCCTCTCGGGGGTGCACCTGGGAGAGGCTTCTCAGTGGGTGCACTGAGCTGGTGGCCCTCCAAGGGAGCAGTGTTTGCAGCTGCGGAACCATTGCACAGCCCGCTGGTTTCCCTTCTCAATCACTTGTGCACTTGCCCCAGCAGCACTCAGCTCCTCCGCCTTCTGTCCAAATTCCTTCCAGGGTGGACAGATCAGTTCAAGGCAGGACAGGTAGGGATGTGTCCATAYATTTCCATCTCAGTGCCCAGGCTGTTTCAGGCCGCCTGCACGCAAGGTTTGATTTTGACAGGTGTCTGCGGTGTCCTTTCACTTTCTCAAAGCTGGTCAAAGCTTTTAACTTTAGTTATCACCATGAATTTAGTTACAATAATGAATTAAAATGTCACTCTCCTGCGCATAAGACTGACTAGGACAAGGGCACTGACAAAAGGCCAASTTGCTACTCACCACAGCCTATCGTCTCTTGCTCTGCTGAGGGACAGAACTGTACGAGCCAGAGCAGCTCCTCCCTGCTCAGTAGGATGTCACTGGGGCCRGCTGCCCCTCTCAGCTGGTCTATTAGAGAAGGACAGGGTTGTGGATGGCACACAATGTGGCCACATGTACCAGGGAAGAGTGTTTCAGAGGAGTCACACGTGGATAGGAGCTGCGTTACAAGGATTAATTACAGTCTTTCCTTGTGAGGCTTCAGCGAGCTGTGATCTATACCAGTTATTTTACTAGATGTCTGAACTTCCAAAGAGATCTAGATTTATTGCTGCCCTAGAAATCTGGCTTAGGCCTTGACTTAGACAGGATTCTCAAATTATTCATGGTCCCTATTTTTTATCAGATTATTGCTAAAGCAACGTAACAAATTGTCATTCTTTCAACRCCACATTGGAGAAGCCAGTTCCCAGAGCAATGGTATCAGGCAGGTAAACAGACCATCTGAGACAGGTTCATGAAGGGTAGTACTGGTACCAGGGAACAAAGAGTATGTGGGCTAATGCTGTCTAAAATAAAGCCTCCTGATTGATGAAGATCTTTGTGACATCTTATGATTACCACAAGATTGTAATACAACTGCTTTGTAAAATATTACATGTAATATATCACTTGTCCATTCTTACATATACTTTCTTGTGATACTGCAAATGATGTTCTAGATAAAGATACTTCTGCTGACTGCAAATGTAAATTTAGGTATTAAAATRTTATTGCAAGTAAAGATCTGTTTAAAGAAAATGTTAAAAATATGTACAATTTAATACAGAWTTCTTTAATTTGCATTACTGCTGACTTTTTCCTTCTGAATTCATTTTTTGGATCTGTTTCATGTGTTCCTATACGTGGGAAGGTTTTCCCCGCCTCTATATAACACTCTGAGAGAAAGCAAACCTTCCTCTTTTCATGTGCCCAGCTAAGCTCAGGATGTGCAAACAGACCCCTAAATCACCTGCCTCTTACAAGAAACAGAATTTGCTGTACTATTTTAATAGCATCCTCTTGTAGCACATTGGAATTWAAACATCTTCAGAGCCATGAACATGATGTTCTGGTCGTGTTCAAACAGTGAAATCCTGGCATCCTCAGGATCTTTGACAATCAGCTGAACTAGGTTTATAACCTCTTTTTCACCCCCTGTTTAAATCTAACTTGCAATGGACATTCAAAAGAACACATTGTTCTTATTTTAAATTTAATTCTAAAGCTCACAAAGTCAAATCTCCCTGCAGCAATCCGACAACTTCCAGAGCCGTGCCCTGATTTCCAAACTAATAAACTTCAGAAGGATGTGAGCTTAATTCATGCAAACCAGGCCACTTCTTTTTAGGTACCTCCATATGGATTAGTGGCTTAAATCCAAGTACCCAAATCTCAGAGCCAGCCCAAGGCCTTGAAGTGTCAACTCCTAAGAAATATCACTTTTAAAAGAAATGACAAAAAGTGCGGTATTTTACTGATGACATTTATTTGAAGGGACACRGAACATTGACTAAAGTGCTTTAAAKGAGGAAATATAAACAGCTTCCTTAAAGCTATTAGTTCCTAAGTAGCCTTAATACAATTGATAAGATTAGCCTCCATGCATTACATGAGCTTGGGCATTTTGTAATACCACACAAATACATGTGTGCAGCTTAGCAGAGASCATGGGAATGCTATATCGGGCTCACAGGCACCACAGACTTCCTAGCTGATGGGCTGGGAAGATTTTCAAGGCTGATAAAAAGAAAAAGGGATCCCAGCAAAATTTATTTACACCCAATTTACTTGTTTTGTAAAAAAAGCCAACAGTGCTCTTGCCATAATCAATGGCAAACGGGGATGAATCACAAATGCTTATTAAAAACTTAATTAAAAAAAAAAAAAGAAAGAGCATTATTAGAGATTAGTTAATTAAGAGATAAGGACAGAAAAATAGAATGGAACCATGTGATAACAGCCCCCTGTGGGGAAGACACAGGCTTAGGCAAATTTATTTCTGGCAACAGCAATGCAGCTATCTCAAATCTGAAGTAATGCCTGCGTGGAATTGCTTTTGAATTATATCAGACGTACATTGTTCAGGAACTGACCGAAACACTGAAATAGTAAAATACCTCTCTCAAAGCACCTGCATTTGGTGTCCCCATGTCATTTCATAGGTATACCTGAATYTGGATCCAAAGCACATTTGTGAGGTGGGAAAGCTGGAGGGAAMCCTGGCCTGGAGCTCAGCTTTGTGGACTCTCCATCCCAGGCACAGTCTCTGCAGACCCTGCTCTGGGGAACACATCCCTTTTTGCAGTTCCCCCCTCACATTTAGTACCAGAGGGATGCTGAGCAGGACTCACACCTCCCATCCCACCAGCTAAAAGGATRGTCCTGATAAACATCAGCCTGCTACAAAGTCCACGAGGAAGCACATTTCCACAGTTTGTTCTCAAAGCTGTCCAAAGCAAAGAAAGGGTGGGGCAGGAATCAGAGGAACCGGTCAAACAGCAAAACAAGGACCGAGGGCAGGTTCTGCAGCCTGCCACTGGATTGATGCACACGCCCTGCACCAGGCAACCCAGCCCCACACACTGCACATSCCATTCCCGGGGTAAACAGGGTCAAGCACTGCAAATCACAAGTGAGGAGACTCGGGCATGTGAAACTTGGAAAGGCACAATTGCAGCTGGAGGGTGAGTAAAGGAGAACAAAGCACCAAGTCTCAGGCACACAATYCCCCAGACTGCTCCCTTGGTAATARGCTGAAAATGTTTAATTCTTGAAAAAAAACCCCACCCCACAGAAGTCACTTTGAAATCTGTGACAATCCAGAATTTAACAGCAGCGCCAAAGAACTGCTGTCCCTCCCAGCTGGAGACACAGGGAGCCCACATTCCAGCAGTGTCAGGATGCACAAGCTGGAAGGAGACTCTGGCCGTGCTGATCAGTTCCAGGACACACACAGTCTCCAAACACGAAGTTTTCCTCTTAAAAATCACCTCCTGCCTTGTCAACCACCCAAATAACCCATCCAGAGGGTGGCACAGCTCT